GCTAAATCCCCAGCCCCCTGCAGACTCTTCTAGATCCCTCGGTTCAGGCTCTCTGCTCGCCCACACTGCCTGGCTTGGCCCTTGAGATATCTGACAAGACCAGCATCCCTCTAATGACTGCGTGCGAGTGCGAAGCTCAAAGAAAGATGGGAGAGGTGGAGGGGGCCATGGGGCTGCAGCCACAGCTGAGGTCTCCCAAGCAAGAACCGGGCCCTGGGTCACGTGGGCCAGGCTGGGCTGACTGGGGGACACCATCCACACCTTCTTGCCCTACTGGCCACAGGGCCTGGCCAGAGCCAGGCAGCTTTGCCCCCAGTTTTCACGTCCTTCAGATGGAATAGGAAGCTGGAACAGTGGCGCACGCCTGTAATCCCAGCACTTGGGAGGCTGAGGCAGGAGGACTGCAGTGAGTTTGCAGCCAGCCTGGCTATATAGTGAGTTTAAGGCCTGCCCGAGCTGCATGGCGAGACCTTATCTCAAGAAACAAACAAACACACAAACAAGAACAGGGTGGGGAGCTCAGGCCATGCTGGGGATCCCCCATAACCCCACTCTCCCCAGCCTTGCCCAGCCTTGTACAGTTTTGGGGCCTCAGCAGCCCTGCTCTACCCTGACCAACAGTCTCCACCTAACACCCACGTATGCCTCGGCTTGTCAAGTTCCAGGGGGCACCGCCCTGGGACCCACACAGGCCCTCAGCATTTCCACTGCACCAGACCCAGAGTGGCCAAGTCCCCAGCCCAAGGTCACCTAGAGGGACAGAGGGCCAGGGCAGGACCAGGGGAACCGCCACTGCCCAGGTGAGCCGCAGGAAGGCCAGTCACCTTGGCAGGCCCTGCACGGGGCACCTGACGCAGAGACGTGGCCAGCTGGGCAGCGGCGGGGCTGGCCCCTGCGCAGGCGGGGAACGAAAACGGCACTGTCAGGAGCACAAACCATCTGCTGTCTTGGGGTAATAAAGGGCCCTTGAGGACAACCCCTGGCATTTCCAGAGAAGTCGGTGGCTTCAGTGGCTGGGACCTAGTCACCCTGGACAGCCCATTCAGCTCCCAGAGCAGGCAAGCCCAGTTGGCAAAAGCAGTGCTGGAACCTCGCAGAAGCCTGACTGCTCTGTGAAGGGGGCTCTACCCACCCTGGCCCCGGAGCTCTGCCGTGGGGAGCTCTCCTACCTCAGCTCTTCTCTGGGGACAGGCAACCGGAGCCGGGCCACAGGCAGGGTCCGTGATGCCATGTTTGGGGCCCCAAACAGCAGGCCTGGTGAGGGCCTTGTCCAGGCAGGAGGGCACAGAGCTCTGCGACTGGCCCATTCCTTGGGGACCAGCACCTCTCTCTCAGGCAGCATGGACATGACCCAAAGGGCAAGGCCCCGGGCACTGCTGCCAGCTTCCCACATGAGCCAAGCCCTCGAGGGCCAGGTAGGCACTGACCGGCCAGGAGCTCTGAGAGAGCCTCGGTGGTCCATAGGGACACAAGTACTCCCACTGCAGGCCTTGCAGCCCGATGTCCAAGTCGGGGTACCCTGGGGACCAATCAGCAGGCTGGGAAGATGGCCCCTGGCCCGCAGGGTACATGTGAGGATCTATAATTAGGTGCAATAAACAGCTCCACTCTTGGGAAGAAGCGGAATGTCTGAAGAGGAAAACAAGAGCGCGTGGTGGGCCACCCTCGGGACCTGCTGGCCTGGGCCACTCAGGTCAGAGAAGCCAGCGCGTGGCGTGGCTGCCAGAAGCCGCGAGGGGGCAGGGCGGACGGCCAGGTCCAGAGCACCAGACGGCCCTGCACATCGGGGCTCAGGCAGGGAGGATGACCAAAGCCCAGGGCAGGGGGCAGGGCGGGAGCTCCTAGGGGGCTCCCCACAGGTGGCAGGGCCAGAGAGCCACAAGGTGCCAAGCTGGTGCTTGTTAACACCAACAGTGGCATGATGTTTTGGAAGCCACTCCAAGCCCAGGCCATCGCCCTTGCTGATGAAGGATGGACAGGCTATGGGGCCTCGGGCCAAGCCTAGAGGCGCTCAGCTGCCATCCCATCCTTCGGGAGACTGAGGCAGGAGGATTGCTGCCAGTACACAGTGAGTTCCAGGCCAGCCTCAACTATACAGTGAGACCCTGTCTCAAAATAAAAAAAAATAAAAAAAAAAAAAAGGCAGGCATTGGCCAATGCAGCACATTCACATTTCTGGACAGACTGCCACAGCAGAACAAGTAATGTCACAGAGCTGCCATATCTGCCCGCTGGGTCCCTTCCTTCCTTCCTTTTTAATTTTCCAGAGCCAAAGAGCAGTTTTTTTTTTCTTTTTTTTTTTTTTTTTTTTTTTTTGGTTTTTCTCCGGTACCGGGAACCGAACTCACGACCTTGCGCTTGCCAGGCAGGCGCTTTTGCCGCTGAGCTAAATCCCCAGCCCCTCTTTTCTTCTTAATGGAGTGGAAATCTGAGCGGACTTTGGGACACATACTGGAAAAGAACAGAGGGGTCCCCGGATGACATGCAAGTTGTGAAGGAGTGACCTGGGACGATCACTTTGGGAAGTGCTGGCGCTGTGGGCCAGATGTTTGCTCCCAAGCAGCTGGTCAGCAGGGCACCTGCCGGACCCTGGAAAGGAGGCCTGCAGTGTTTCCAGGAAGCAGGCTGCAGAGTCAGTCCTGGGAAGCACATTCTGCTCTGCTGCCCCTGACCCAGTAACTGTACTTCTGGGAATGTGTATCAAGGAAATAACCCAAAGGGCAAAGAGAAGACGTAGCCACAGCTCAGAGCTGGTTATTTATAACAGCAGAAGGCTGAAAATAACAAGCAGGAGATGACCACAGAAACTGGAATGTGACAACCAGGGAGAAAGGTCCCCTGCCCTGGCAGTGCCACACGCCGGGCCTGCCAGGACACAGGAGCAGCTGCCTCAGTGGGGCTGAGAGGATGGGCACCTGCTACAGCAGGACTGGAGTCGGAGCCACCTGTCACCAGAGAAGCCGGGGACCCCTAAAGCATGCATGGATGAGGAATCAGAGACCTTGACACACGGAGGGAGCCTCACCAGGCCATGGACGCCTGACCCGCCTGGGCCTCATGCATGTTGCTAGGGCCCCCAGTCCCTCAGACGCTGCCACATTAGAGCAAGTAATCCCACCGAGTTGCCATGTCTGCCCCCTGGGTCCCTCCCTGAGGATGGTGCGGGCCGCGCTGACCGTGCCCACGTGCTGAGAAGGGAAGTGTGACGACTCCAAGACTCAGATCCAGGACCCCAACCCCCAGAACTTGCTTCCTTAGCTGGCCAGGGTTCAGTGCTGCCCTACGAGTTTCCCAGTGTGTTTCCTAGTCTGTACCGCAGAGAGAGGCCGGATGATATCCACCTCACAGGGCTGCGGTGAGGATTCTAAGGAGGCCGAGGGTAACGTGCTCGGAAAAGTGCAGGTTCTGGGTCAGTGCTACTGTATCAAGACTGAAGACAACTGGGGCTGCATGCACAGGGCCCCCAGTCCCTCAGACTCTGCCACATTAGAGCAAGTAATGCCACAGAGTTGCCATGTCTGCCCCCTGGGTCCCTCCCTAATTCCGGATCAGCAGGCACTGCAGGCTAAGGCTCCCACTAACACACATTCCCGGCCCCGCCTCCATTGTCCGCCCCGCCCCCAGACGGCCCCGCCCTCACACGGCGCTCCAATCAGGACTGCCCACTAACGCTCGGGCCCAACCCACCTCTGGCCCCGCCCACAGCGGCAGGCCCCACCCCTAACGGCCCCGCCCCCCATCCCGAGTCGCTCTTTCAACTCAGCCCGGCGCGCCAAATCCCGGCGCGGCCCCGCCCCTCCACAGGCCCCGCCCCTAACGGCCTCGCCCACCGCTCCGGGCTCCGCCCCCTCTAGGCCCCGGCCCCGCCTCGGCGCATCCCGGGTCTCCAGGCCATTCTGGGCTTCCTGCTTCTCACAGCCCCGCGCTCTGGGCGAACTGACAGAGCCTGGCCTGTGCCCGGGCTGCCCGATCTGGCGGGCCTAAAACCCAGGCAGGCTCCAGCTTGGGCCTAGCGGCCCGGAGCATGACCTCGGCCTGCCTGTCCGTCGCCTCGCCGCCGCGCCCATCCCCGTCTGTGCCCTACTGGCCGCACCTTTGAATAGGTAGTCGTACTCGTCGTCCCGGGTCCCCATTGTCCTAGCGCTTCCGGCGGGATCGGCGACTCCGCAGCCCCACCACAAACACCCGACGGGGGCGGAGCCGGCGCCGCGCAGAGCGGCGGTCTGTTGACCAATCAGCAGCAGAAGCAATACCGACCGACAGCCAGTCCAACCAATTAGAGGCAGAACTAGAACTCCGGGGGTGGGTGTCTCCTGGGATCCGCCCTCTTTGCCCTCGGTCTCCTGGAGAAAGGCGGAAGGAATGCGGATCTTTCTGAAGTGACAACCACCAAAACCTATCAGAGGCAGGCTGAGGAAGGCGGGGGCGGAAGACTGGAAGAATGAAGCGGATTGACGGAATGTTCAGCCAATAAGAGACTTGATTTTGTCCCTCGTCTACTACCAGAGGACCCGTCCGAGAAGGGAAAAGGGCCTAAATCCAGGCGCTGTTACGCTGGTTAACGTCCCGATGACGTCATAGGTCCGTCCATTCGGCGCTGGCCTCGCCCCCCAGCCCATACATGACCGTTTCCGGGAGCCTCTGCTCCCGCAGGCCCGGCTGTCTTCTGTCTGTTGCAGTTCCTATCGGTTCCCTAACGATTTACTGTTTTACGCCTCTATTCATGCAAACACGGAGGAAACCCACCGGAATGAACATCTAGTGACTCAACAGTGCACAGATTAGCAAATATTAGGCACTTTCTGGAATAACCGCACTCCTATAGGCTTTATAGCTGCTGGCATTAAAGCACGTATTTATTTTATATATTTAAAGTGCCCCGCAGCTAAACAGATTAACTTATCCAGTCCCGGGGCTGGAGATTTAGCTCAGTGGCATAGCGTCTGCCTGGCAAGTGCAAGGTCGTGAGTTCGATTCCCGGTACCGGAAGAAAAACAAAAACAAACAAACTTATCCAGTCCCTTCCATGGCTATCTTTGAGCATGTCAACTCTGCACTCTGGGCAAATTATCAGTATATGTCGCAGCATTACTAACTACAAAGCATTATCGCTTTCTTGATCCGGTGATCCGTTTAATGTCTGCCTCCGGTCAACAGAGTATCAGCCTGAGGAAGGCAGGGCCTGTCTGTCTTAGTCATGGCTGTATACTCGGGCTAACTCAGTACGTGTTCAGCGATGAATATCTATGCCTAAAACCCACGTGCAACTGGGGCTGGGGATTTAGCTCAGCGGCACAGCGCCTGTCCAGCAAGCGTCAAGGTCGTGAGTTCGATCCTCGGTCCCAGGAAAAAAAAACGAAAAACAAATAAAGCCCGCGTGCTGGCCATGCTTGTTATCGCTGCCTCCCTCACATCCCTGGGATGTCCACTGTCCTCTTTCCCCACATTCGCTCTTTTTTTTTTTTTTTTTGGTTTTGGTTTTT